GAAGGGTCTAGGCCCGAAACGTCAGCTTTCCTGCTCCTCTGATGCTGCTTGGCCTGCTGTGTTCATCCAGCTCTACACCTTGTTATCTAAGCTGAGAGGCAATTGGGTTGGGGGATGGGAAGTCTCCAGAGGTCATGAGGTCAGTGGCAGTCCTCGCAACAAGGCTTGATGTTTGGATGTGGGGTCACGGTCCAGTGGGAGATAGGAAGAGGTGCCCGACAGTTGGTGTTGAACCTCTGCAAGGTAAAGATCAGTATGCCAAACAACATGGACACCACCTTTGTCGGCAGGTTTGATGACAAAATCAGGGTTGGACCTGAGAGAGCAAAGTAAGGCAATTTCAGAAGGGGACAGGTTAGAGTGGGTGAGAGAGGAATAGAAATTGAGACAGCCGACGTCACACCGACAGGTTTCAATGAAAAGATCAAGGGCAGGTAAGAGGCCAGAGGAAGGGTTCCAAGTGGAGGATGAATACTGGAAGTGGGTGATGGGATCATTGGGACGGGTGGCGGGGCCTTGGATATTCCTGCCCAAGGAAGTGAGCACGGAGATGGAGGAGAAACAGTTCAACGTCATGGCAAGCCCGAAATTCATTAAGGTGGAGGCGTAAGACTATGAGGCTGAGTCCTTTGCCGAGGACAGTACGTGGAGTCTTAGAAAGGGCATGTTCAGGAGGTTTGGTGAAAACATGGCAGGAGATGGGGTTGGGGTGAGTGACTTCTAGTCCTCTGACCTCCTCAGAAAGGGGTGGCATCTGAGGCTGGGAAGGAGTGGTTGCTAAGGTACGGTAAGGGATCGGCTCCGAGTGACAGGAAGGGTTGGGGTCCAAGACAAGGTAAGCGGAGGGCGGTGCAGGACAGGTGTTGGAGAAAATAAGCTGATTGCTCACCTTGATGCCAGGAAGGAAGAGAAAAAGTCTTTATTGGGATGACAGATGAGATGATGAGTCTATTGCATTCGCTGCACCCAACGTGGCCTACTCTACATTGGAGAAACCAAATGCAGACTGGGTGACCATTTTGTGGAACAGCTCCAGTCCGTGTGCAAGCATGACCCCTGAATTTTCCACAGCCAATCATTTTAACATAACGTTCTGCTCACATGCCCACTTGTCTGTCCTCGGCATGCTGCAATGCTCCAGCAAATCACAGTGCAAACTGGAAGAACAACATTCAGAATAGGCACCTTACAACCTTCTGGACTTAATATGTCTTCCTTTCTTTTAGCTTTACTTGTTGTATTCTCTGTCACTATGGCCTCTTTCCCCTCCCCCGACTCCAGTGTGTCTATTCTTTCCAGTTTGGCAGTTGGGCACATTGTTCTGCCATTCTCACATTCCGATCACTTAGTCTGCACTAACAGCACCCTTTCTCCCACAGCACTCCAACCCCATCCTATTGCATAAATGTTGTCCCTCCACACTTCAGATCTGCTCAGAAGAGTCACTTCGACTAGAAACATTAGCTTGCTCTCTCTCCACTGATGCTGCCTGACCCACTGTGATTTCCAGGTCTTTTTATTTTCAGTACAGGTTGCAGAATCTGCAGTAATTTTGAGATGCTCTAGATTGAATTGATATCCAGTACATACATACACTTAAATAAGAGCAGAGTGGCCCAGCCCAAATCATAATTAGCTGATTCTGGGGTTAGATTAAGGACCAATACAAATTTAATAGAAAAGGGCTTTTTTTAAATGGCAGAAAACTCATAGTGTAATATCCTCATGTGAACATAGTCAAAGAAACAGGTGCATTGTGTGCCACTAGACACAAGAGTACAATAATTAGCATTTTAATCTGACACCCTTTCAGACTTCTGAAAAATCACTGCAATTAAATTACAACATCTGTTTTTAAAAGTTGTTTTGAATTTTAAATTGATGCTGGAAATTAATAGTGAAGGTTATAATTCAAAGCTTTAGGAAAGGGCTCTGATATTGCAACAAAAACTTCAAAATTAAGTTTAATAAAATGGTTGAATCTTGCTAGTAAGTGAATTTTGCTTTGAAATAAACCTGAACATCCATTAAACATATAGCTAACTTGACAAAGTAGTTTATGCTTAGATCCAGGACTTTAAAGCACAGTGCAGACAATATTCTATCTGCAGGCTTTGCACAACGCCTGTTTAAATCATTCATTCATTCATTCAGCATACCCCAAAAAAACAATGAGTGGACCTCCAAATTATGATGCCAGTAAATTCCTGTGCTGACGATTACAAACTGAATAATCACTGCAAATCCACAGAAAATTTAATCAGGAATGACCGATATAGTCTGTTGCTTCAAGACTTTATCCTTGGGGCAGGTTTCTGTAGTAGGATGGAGCAGAGTTGCAATTCAGTGACAACTGTATTCAAATAAACATAAGTGTGGAATAAACTCCAAAATGTGGGTTATGAAAAACAAAACTTTGTGCTGAGCACCAGAGAGAAATACATCCAAAATAATCTACATTAGAGACTGAAAAGCAAGTTGTTCCACTAATAATGAGAGACTTGCATCACTTGTCATATAAAAGTACTAACCTAAATTAGGATGAAAAGCCACTTCGAAGGATTCTTAATTCCAAGATCACCATATCCTTTTTAATAGGAAATGCAGACTAGAAAAACAGAGCTGCTTTTGCAATTGTCTTCTGATCATGTCCTCTTTTTCTGTTCAGCTTCTTCACATTCTGCTGTTTTTGACTGAAACTTCTAAATGTTCACAGGCCGCATCTACAGAAGGAAAAGACTCAAATGGTATGTTATTACTTAACCACATAGAAGTTGTAATCCAGGTATGCCATATTTCGTAAACAATGACTAAAGCATCCAATGGAACTATGTCTGGTAGAAAGAACTTAAAGGTATTCATTGCTTATATTGTTTCAATTAGTGGAAAAGAGTACTGGGAAGAATAATATCTTCATCAAACAATTTAATAAGCATTTTTAAACATGTGCAAGTACAGCTTAAACTTAAAATTCCAGGTACCATATCAAATGTATGCATTTGTGTAGTTGTATAAAATACTTCTCTAATAAAAATAGCCCAGACCAACAGTAGCAATTAAGTTATCTATGGTGATTGAGAGATTAATGAAGCAGTTCCAGTTCTGAAAGACAATATGCCCTATCAGCATCGGCAATCAAAGATGGCAGATAATGACCAGTGAAATCAGTGGTTGTTTCTCAGATATACTTGTTAAGACTAACGAGTAACAGTACATCATTGGAACAGAGCAGAAATGCTTAATCTTATTCATCTGATCTGCTGATCATCACCTTAGCATAGTTTAAGGCAAGACTTGAAAAATGTTGAGACAAAACTGAAGTACTGTAATGAATTAAAACTGATGGCATCCAGATCTACAACTGAACCCTACACTTTATTCCTCCACTTCTATCCATGTACACAGCATCACTACTGTCAACCAAGCATTGGCAGCTATGCTCTCAAACTGACCAGCCCCACTCCTTTGGAATTTCCTCCTGAACCACTGTCTCTCATCTCCGTAAACAAACTTTTGCTCACAACTCATAATTTTTCCTCAATTTCAGTACCAGTTTTTGTTTAGGTCCCTGAAGAGTCTAATGTTTTCTATGTCAAGTAACTAAAAAACAAGATGCATGCTCTGGTTGGTACAGTATTATTTCTTTCTGGCCATATTGCCATATGGCCATACTGCCATATTTTGCAGAGTTGCAATCACCACTGTTCCAATGAAGTTTAGAAGTCCATAATCCATGTCATTAAGGCAAACCATTACAACTGGAGCAACAAATTTAAGGTAAAATTTAATGTTTTAACACATGGAATTCTATTTTTAAAAATCAGTGTTTTAGGGATCAAATTCCATACTCTCTTACCTACTGCCAAACCATTTCCGTGGCCCTGAATACATTCACAATTCCTCCACCAGCTACACTGTATTGTGGAAAACAGATAATGAATGTGAAACTTGAAGAAGATCAAAGTTGATACAATTTAACAAAAAACAATATTAGGAAGAAAGACAATGGCCAGGTGCAATGCAAGCACCTTGAAAACTAATAAAGGATGTTAGTCAATGAAAATAAAAAGGCTTTCCATGGTAAGTAACTAAACAGATGTTGAATGATTACTTTGTGCCAGTAGTACTGGAAAATGTCAGCACACTTGACATCAAGAAAGGCAATACTGAATCAGGCATTAGGACTCATGCAAAGCAACACAAACACAAGGGTAAGGATGAAGAACAGAATGACATATTCCAAGGACCCAATGACTTCAGTATATTTGGGATATTTATAACGAATTAGTGAGAACATTGGAGATACCCTGACTATGATTTAAGTTCTACCAATTCACGGGCTATACAGTTTTGAGTAAAAGTTCTTATTTATCCACTTTCCTGTATCTCAGCTCCTCAGGTAGCAGCTGGTAACAAGGTACATAAAAATATGTTAAAATGGCCACAATGCAATTTTTCAAAAAGGATTGTAAACCGAATAAGTTTATAACTGACACAGTGAAAGGGAAACAAATAAAAAATTGGGGAAGCAAGGAGCTACAGGAAGACAGGAGAGTTTGGAAAAAAAAGTCAGAATTATGAGTGAAGAGGCACAAATGGGAAGGCAGTCTATACAGACAGTATATGATTTTAAGGAGATATGCCAGGTGGACCTTGTAGAGTGAGTTCCCTGATTGGGGCTTTTAATCTGTTCCCATCATGGAGCCCTGGCTGACAGATAAGAATAGGAGTGTGAGACATCCTGTTCACTCAGAGCTGGCTCTGCGGGAGCTGGATCAGTGTCAAGGAATCTCCACGTGTTAATAAAGGATGACTTGGTGATGACATACTGGCCTCTGTGGAATTATTTCAGTGGCGACAAGAGAAAAAGCATGCTCCTGAATAAATTCACTTGCAACAGTCGTCTTTGAGTTTGGGTAAACATTTCTGGCATCATAGCATTGTTTGGCAAGATTGACTTGTTCAATCCTGCTGAAAACTGGGCCCAGTATGTAACAAGATTATGTCATATTTTCCGGACAATGACACTGGGGCAGATGAAAAGCAATGAGTAATTCCCGAAACAACTTGTGGACCTGCAGCTTTTTCATGTTATTAGGAGCCTAACTTTCCCTGAGGCACCAGATACTAAAATCTTTCAAGAGTTGGAAGAATTACAGGTGGCTTGGCGTTGTAATATTCCTTAACTAAATCTGAGATGCTATGGGTTTTACTTGGTAATTTGAGAACAAAGCAATCCATGTTGGGATTTTTGACTACATTAAGACGATTGGCAGAGGCATGTGACTTTGGCATAACTCTTAATGAGATGCTGAGACATCATTTGGTATGTGGGATTAATGATGTAAGCATGTAAAAGCGCCGACTAGTTAAAGCCCAAATGGACTTCGAACAGGCACTACAACTGGACTTGTCATTAGAAAATGTGCAAGTGGAACATATGAGTTGTAAGGTATTCTGGTGGAAGTGGACACCGATCCGACTGAGCTTGGCGGACACCACTCGGGTAAAAACCATTGTATAGTCTAACTCAGGACATTCCCTGAACAGAGGGACTCTAGATCAGCCCACAGCAAAACCCACAGTAAATCCAAGCCTCAGCCAAACAGTTAAAATTTTCTTCAGGATCCAGGCCAGCAAGCCAATGTAGTTGCTGCCAGTATGGGGACTCAAGACAGCAAGAGAGTCTCACTAGACCTAAATTGAGTCAAGGAACTCATAGGCCAGTATCCAGAAGAATGCACATCTGGGGAAGTCCACCTACATCTGATTTGGAACAGTTGAATTGCTTATGAACATCCAAATCAGAACCAAAATAAATGTCTGGTTAAAATGGTCACCCAGTTGTAATAAACGTTGATGCCAGTGCAGCTGTTTCAGTGATCACAGAACCAGACCCTAACAAAATCTGCTCTGTACTCCAAACCTTACGTTTGTGCAAGACCTCAGCTAGACTGAGAATCTATACTGGTTGACTTTACAGATTAAGGATACAACTTTGAGAAGCAGTTGCTTGAGTTCCCACTAATTGTAGTAAAAGCCTCGGGCCCAAGCTTGATGGGGCAAAATTGGTTGAGAGAGATTCAGCTAGATTGGCTCAACATTTTGATTAGAAAATGGCTGCCTGAGTGCAGGCCTAATTAATTACCTCAGGACTATCAAAGGAGCCAAGGTCACCTTGCTTGTTGACCAGGAAGCAATTCCACATTTCTGCAGGTTTCCCTAGTCCCTTTTGCCTTACAGGCCAAAGTAGAGGCAGAAATCAGAAGGCTGGAAAGCAAAAAAATAGTTTGCTGAATGGACAGCACCGGTCGTACCAATTATGAAGTCTGACAGGTCAGTTTGCCTTTGTGGGGATTTGAAATTAACCGTAAACCACTTTTCACAGCTGCATAAATACCCAATCCTTTGCATATAAAGGATTTATGCACAAAGCTGGTAGTGGGGGAGGGGGGGGGGGGGTGGGGGTGGGGGTGTTGGTGGCCCTTCACAAAGCTGGACATAAGCTATGAGTACTTGCAATTGTGATTAGATGAGGATTCCCAGATGTAGGCTACAATTAATACCCATAAGGTAGCGTCAGCCTGCGCAATTTTTCAGTGGATGATGGAGAACATTTTAGAAGGTCTACTTCAGTTCGCCATTTATCTAGATGACATGCTACTAACAGGGAAGATGCAATTTTGTGAACTTGGAATAGTCCTTAGACATTTCTCCTAGGCAGGTGTATGCCTTAGGAGGGAAAAATATGTGATCTACTCGAGCTAAAGAGTCGACAAGATTGGGTTACACACATTGGAAGATAAAATGAGGGAGATCAAAGATGCCCTGGCTCCTATGTCTGTACCAGAGATTATGTCTTTCCTTGTGCTGCTGAATTATTACGGAAAGTTTATACACAACCTGGCCTCAATTCTGGCACCTTTGCATCAACTCTTAAAAAGGGTCAGCCTTGGAAATAGTTGCAAAGCCAAGCCATAGCTTTCAGGGAAGTGAAGAAACAGCTATAATCCTCTAAGCGAGAGCTGGTACTGACATGTGATGCCTCCGCCTACCGCGTACAGCTGTAGTATTAGTTCACAGATGGCCCAATGGAGAGGAACGCCCTTGGCATATGCATCCAGGACGTTGGCTGATGCAGAGTGAAGATATGCTCATATACAGTAGGAAGATTTTGCAATCAGGAAGTTTATTAGCTTTACAAATGTAAATTTATAATAATGGACCACAAGACACTGTTAGGTCTACATAAAGAGGACAAAGCAGTGCCACCCACAGCTTCAGGCTGAATTCAGCAGTGGCCTCTAATACTAAGTGCGTATAAATACAAGTTGGAACACTGTCCAGGAGGCTAAGTAGCAAATGCATTGAGCTGCCTCCTGCTGGCAGATACGCCACTAGTGACACTGCTACTGGAAGAGTCCGTAATGGTTTTAACTTTTCTGGACAGACTTCCAGTCTCAGCTGACAGTATCAGACTTCAGACAGAGAGATCCGGTCCTGGCAAAACTGCAACAGCCGGTGGTGATGGGAGAAACCAAAAGGCCATCACAAAACGAAATGAAACCTTTCTGGACCCAGAGAGGGCCAGATCACAGTACAGGACAGCATATATTATCGGAAGCAAGAGTGATTGTCCTGAGCAAAGGTCACCACCACATATTGGCTGAACTCCACCAGGGTCATCCAGGTGATTCCAAAGCGAAGATGTTGGCAAGAAGTTATGTCTGGTGGCCAGGACTGCATGCAGACATAGCTGTGTTGATGGGGCAGTGCTGAGTGCCAACAGGGACAAAATTTACTCCCACAAGCCCTCCAACATTCATGGGAATGGGCAGGTAAGCCCTGGACTTGGTTACATGTCGACTATACAGGTCCTTTTGTGGGATCAATGTTCTTAGTCATTGCGGACGCCCACTTAAAATGGCTGGATATGCATAGAGGTCATTTGTCAAATAGGAGGATGACAACAGGAAAACTTTGTGCATCTTTTGCAATATGCAGACTCCCGGATGTGTTGGTCACAGGTAATGGGCCATTGTTTACTAGCAGGGAATTTGAGTATTTCCTAAAATTGAATGGTATTCTATACAAGGACAGCTCCATACCATGCATCATCCAATGGTCTGGCAGAAAGGGCAGTCCAAACTTTGAATGCAGGCTGAAGAAATAGCCCACAGTTTCACTAGATACCAAATTGTCCTGGTTCTTATTTGATCATAGGACCACCCCTCATGTAACTACAGGAATAGCTCCAGCAGAGTTACTAATGGGGAGAAGACTCCACACCAAATTAAATCTGGGGGAGTGAAAAGACAACAGGAATGCCAATGCTGGACACAAGACTCCGCTAAGCAAGGAAGACAGCTGACTTCAGGGAACGAAGTTTGGTGTAGGAAACATGGGAATGGCCCTGTATGTGTATGGGGCATGGTCGACATGGGATCAGGTCCAGTGCAAACCCGCAAACAGTGTGGGAGCAAAATATGCCTAGCTCTTCAATAGCCTTCCTGACTGTTTTGGAACCCATGGGTACTTTGTCTCCATCAAGTGTTGAGGAGAACTGAGAATCTGAGATGGACACAGTGGGATGTCACTGCCTCAACACCTTTGCCGCTTGAAGAACAGAATGAGTTTCTTCTGAGATGCTCCAGACACAAGAAGTGGACTACTGTGCATTACACGCCACCAGTTTAAAAAAAAACAGCCTATGTTCTCAGACTCAGAGGGAGAGGGATGTAGTGAGTGTAATGAGGTCAGCTAGGTCGACCTCAGAACAGGACTTCTCTGATTGGACTAGATTAACAGCCCCAGAGAGCCCTGGTGGAGAGATATAAAAAGGAGTGTCAGATATCATGTTCATTTAGAGCTGGCTCTGAGGGAGCTACGTCAGTGTCAAGGACTCTCCATGTATAAATAAAGGCTGATGGGATATTGGCCTCTGTGGAGTTCTCAGGAAGAACAGTTTTTTTTTCAGTCAATCAGCAATACCAAATAAGACAAGTACAATAAGATGACAACACTGACATGTACAACTGACTATCCTAACCTCTTCTCAAGTCATAACAATATGCAAGATATGAATGGGGTAGAACATAATGACCATAAGCAAGGGAAACTTTGGACTTGGGTGTTTGCGAGTCTTTATACAAGTGGAAGCCACAAATACGTTAGAAATGTCAATCAATTTGTATATTTAGGAAATACTGCTTCAGTTACAATTTCCACAACTTTCATAAAATACGAGTTGCACATCACAGCAAGACTGCTGTAAAGTAAACAAATCAGTAGCAATGAGCAGCAGGTGACAAGCAATGAGAACATTGGTCAATATCTACACTTTGGAAATTTCCAATCTGTGTGTTTCGGCCTAGAGTTCACAAATTGTATTCATCAGATAGTTTATAGAATCCCTACAGTGTGGAAATAGGCCCTTCAGCCCCACAAGTTTACACCGACCCTCAGAGTATCCCACCTAGACCCATCCCCTAATCTACACATCCCTGAACACTATGGGCAATTTAGCATAGCCAATCCCCCTGGCCTGCACATCTTTGGACTGTGGGACGAAACTGAAGCATCTGGAGGAAACCCATGCAGACACAGGGAGAATGTGTAAACTCCACAAAGACAGTCACCCTAGGGTGGAATCGAACCCGGGTCACTGGCGCTGTGAGGCAGCAGTGCTAACCAATGAGCCACCGTGCCGCCCATTATTCTCATTAATGGTATCCTTTGAACCCCTCAATGCCAAAGCATTGCTCAGGAAGTTCTTTAATTTAAAGAAAAAGGAAACTAAATGAAACTTAAAACTGGCAAGATCTGATAAGACTCAGATGTTTATAACAAAGGAGGAGGCCACTTGGTCTATCATGTCCATGCTAGTCAAAAGATGGGAATACACTAATCCCATTTTCTAGCTGTTAGCCTGAAACCTTGAAGGCTATGGCAACACAAATAAATTGTCTAAAATACTGCTTAAATGTTCCAAGAATTTCTGATTCAACCACCCTTTCAGGCAGTGAATTCCAGACTTCCACCATCCTCAGTGAAAAATTTCTCAAATCTCTTATACTAAACATATGAGGTAGAAGATTACTTTCCATGAAGATTACTACCAGGAGTATGTAGGATTTCACACATCGCACAATATGTGCAAATCACAGGCCCCAGCTCACCAGGCATACCCTAAAAGAATCCAGACTCTCTCTTTAATTTTATCCTAATTCCCAGAGAAAACTTATTTTTAAGGAATGCTTATACTTGTTAACACCCTGAGTCCTACACAAGACCACTGTTGGCCTGTCTGCTTCTCAGAGGGTCTTCAACATTGCCTTTAAGCTGCACTCCGAGCATGATCTATGTTTAACATTGACTTTGGCTCTGGAGCTCTGGGACGTCTGTGCAGAAAAAAACAGTAGCAGGAAAACCAATTCTCACTTTGCCCGCTTCTCTGTGATGCTGATGTCCTGCTGCAGGGCCCTCACCTTGTCTGCTTATCATTGGTGAAATATTGGGCCAGAATGCACTGTAGCCATTGAACAAATGGCACTGAACACAACTGTTCGACTTTTTCTTGTCCATTTAATTTACATGAGCTTTTGCTCAGCAAAGTGCTGAGAGCAGAAGAGTAAAGCAGGGTGGTGTCCTCTATGGAATACTGGAGATTTGTGAACAAGTTATTATAGAACTGCTAATAAATACAGACCCCAGGAAGCGTGTATTAGTGCAATGCCAAATCAAGTACACAATACAACAAGGACAGGGACAAATTAACTGGATAGAGCAGGCAAGAGCCTGCACGCATGTGAGAGTGAGAGACAGAGTGAGAGAAGGGAGATAAGTTTTGAAAAATTGAAAATTAAAAGCTGAAGGGAAAAGACAACATACCTATAAAAGTTTAACTTTAGTGCCATTGATGTTGTTTGAAAATAATTAAGACTTATCTATCATTTAACATGCCAAAATGATAAGCCAAGCTTGGCAAATTCAGCTTATATCAGAAATGCAAGTAGAGGAGCTTCAGCCATTTAATGCACTTGAAGGGTGATTAAAAAATGCAGAAGTTCAGCAGAATTTAATGCCCTTCTCCATGGTGAGTTTGGTGGCAGCAGCATTTAATTTTTTTTTCTTTTTCCACAGCACACGTATTGTATGTAAGTGCACGGACTCAGTGAAGACTCCATTGTGCAAATAATTTTGTTCAATATTTCCACAACCAGGAAAAACACCCATGTGGCCAAGAAACCAGTAGGAAAGCCCGACAGGAGCAATGCTTACGTGAAAAAATGAAGGGGAAGGGGAAGGGGAAGGGGACGGGGACGGGGACGGGGACGGGGACGGGGACGGGGACGGGGACGGGGAAGGGGACGGGGAAGGGGACGGGGAAGGGGACGGGGAAGGGGACGGGGACGGGGAAGGGGACGGGGACGGGGAAGGGTGGGGTTTAAATCAAAATAGAGTTGGAGGGGGACAATAAAGCACTCCACTCCTGCTGATCCCACTTCTTCCTAAAGGCATCAAAAGCATTGGTGAACACCACATGCTCCCTCTCCAAAAGGCACCTAGGCTTGAATGTTGCCGTGGAAGAGGGGCCAAGAGTCAGTCAAAGTGACCCCCTCCATAACCCACTGCCTAGACCTGTTTATACCAGTGGCCAGGCCCAGCAGCAGACCCACAAAGAGATCTTCTGACCTGCCTGCACCCCATGCCCGAAGATCAGGTGCGTGCGGCTGAAGTGCAACCAAAAACACAGCAGAAGGTTCTTTAGGTAACTGAAAAGGGACAGCAAATGCCCACAGCCAATGTACACGTAGTCCACAGAATCCACAGCACCGCAAAACAAACAGTTGGACTGGGAGTCCATGAACCACCCCAATCTGCTGTTACAGGGGACTGATGCATGCAACACCCTCCAGCCCAGAGGCAGGGGCATTTTATAAGGCAGGGTGGCAGGATTCTAATTACTTCCCTGATTGGTTTGTGCTGGGAAGGTATTTGAAGTCTTCTTAACTGCCTCATCCTGCCACAGTCAGTATTTACTCATCAGCGGGCAGGGGACATGCACAATATGGGGAAATCTGAAAAACAAACCCTGTCAGGGTTGATTGCATGCTCCAGAGGAAGGAATTCCCTATTCAGGGACACTCCGTGCTCAATCAAGGGACCTAGGTCCATCAGTGATCCTTGGCTTTGGGTGTATTTAATTTCAGTGGAAGCTACTTCATCCTCTATAGCACCACCGAGCAATCAGCCAGCAACTTCTGGCAGCAGCGTTTCAGTATCGTGGATTCTTGATCCTTGGAAGGAGCTGCTCGGTTCAGTTAAGAGCCTGAAAAAAAAACATAATGAGAGACTCTTGCTGACTCTCAAAGGTAAATTCTTGTGCTTCCGTTAAATTTCGGTCACTCTGTCTGAAAGGGCAGTAGCAGAATTTGGACAGCAACTTCCAGATGTGTTGGAATCATGCAGTTGCCCTCATCCAATTTTGGATGTTACGCACAAAATAATGGAAATTTGACAGTAAATTCTTGCTGATAATCGACTCCTGAATCGGAAGGTAGAAATTTTGTATATTACTGTTAAGACTGGAACTCAACTGCTCATGTTAGTGCACAAATTGCAAGGGATTTTGAGACAGTTGACATCAAGTGATACTTGAGGTCACAAGGGAAAAAGCAGGAATGAATTCACACAAATGCATGAAACTGGAGCTATTAATAACCCTGTGAAAAATAGATTTTAGCGTTGAACTTAAGATCATCAAGTAATAAGCTAATTACTAATACAGTTGCTGTATATTCCTAGAGTTTATCATTTTGGGGCTTTTCTGGCACAGCGGCAGTGTTCCTACCTCTGAGTCACGAGACCCAGGCTCAAGTCCCACTTATTTCAGAGTTGTGTAATAACACTCCTGATAGCTAAGTTAGAAATACATCTGTACTATTTTGTGCGGCTTAGTGCCACAGTGATAGTGTCCCTACTCCTAAATGGGTTAGCTAGTAAATGTCAATACCATTTTATGGAACTCATGTGGTGCAGTGCTAGTGTCCTCACTATTTGACCAGGAGTCCTGAGTGCCAGTCCCAACTGCCCAAGAGGTGTGTAATAATATCTCTGAATATGGGGATATGAAAATATCTATGCACTATTTTGTAATAAGATCTTGTGGCACAGCGCAAGTGTCCCTACCTTTGGACCAGGTGGCCTGGGTTCAAGTTCTATCTGCTCCAGAGGTGTGTAATGATATTGCTGAACATGTTGTTAGCAAATATTTATGTGCTCTTGTGGTTCAGTGGTAATGGCCCTACATCTGGGACAGGGGGCTTGGGTTCAAATCCAGCTGCTCCAGAAGCGTCATATCAGCTCTGAACAGATTGATTAGAAATTTCTGTGTTCCATCACTGAGGGCTGTTGTCTAGTGGCAGTGTCCCTTCTTCCAGGCCCAAAGGTCTGGGTTCAAGTCCCAGACATGCGTCACAAATTATCTAAACAGGTTGATTTAAAAAAAAAACCTAGAGATAAACTATTAAGGGTTCTTGTGGCACAGTAGTAATTTTCCCTACATTCGCACCAGGAGGCACAAGTTTCAGTCCCACCTGCTCCAGAAACATTTTATAGTACTGTCAATCAGGTTGATTAGAAAATTATGTGTGTACCATTTGAGGTCTCATGTAGCATTATGGCAGTGTCCCTATCTTTTCCTAGGGTGGGGAAAGTCCAAAACTAGAGGGCATAGGTTTAAAGTGAGAGGGGAAAGATTTAAAAAGGACACAAGGGGTATTTTTGTTTAAAACACAGAGTGATTAGTGTGTGGAATGAACTGCTAGAGGAAGTGATGGATGCAGGTACAATTACAACATTTAAGATACGAAGGGATTGGGCCAAATGGAGGCAAGTGGGACTAGTTTGGTTTGGGAACATGGTTAGCATGCAAGTTAGATGTAAGAATCTGGCTCCGTGCTGTATGACTGGTTCTATGCCTGGTCTCTGCATCACAGCACCAATGGCATCAACACTCATACAGTTCTGCTGAGTAGCAAGATATTGATTACCTTACATAGCAGAAGTAGCGTAATTAGTTTTCACATCCCTGAGCTGAGTAAGGACAATGTGCCCTGTGATCTTACTTCTATTTTGCAGTGACAGTGTTCATAATACGCAAATGCAGGACAGGATGACTCACCTATATTCTCTTCCAAGAGAAGAATGTGCCAACATTAATGCTAGCTTCTCTGCTTTTACACTCCCCCTACTGATTGCAATGGGATTAAAAAGAAATCATTGGCTAGAGTACAGAATCAAAATCATAGCCTGGTTGTCTAGATTCACTTGTGAAGAATTGCTACTTGAGAAATGTCTAGGAAGGTGGGAAGTATCTGTATTTTCTGGTGGGTGGGTGGGGGGGGAGGGGGGGGAGGGGGGGAGGGAGGGAGGGGGACCATCTTATGAGGAGAGTTATAGAGTCACACAGCATGGAAATAGACCCGTCGATTCAGCCAGCCCATGCTAACCATAATTCCAGACTAAACTAGTCCCACCTGCCTGCGCCTGGTAAATCTCTTCTGAACCCTCCCTCTCTTAATAATATCTTTCCTATAGAAGGGTGACTAGAACTGGACATAGTATTCCAGAAGAGGACTCACCAACGTCTTGTAGAACGTCAACATATCAACCCAACTCCTATACTCAGAGGTCTGAGCAATGAGGCAACATACTGATGCCTTCTTAACCACCCCACATGTGACAAATTTCAAAGAATTATGTACCTGAACCCCTAGGTCTCTCTGTTCCACAATAGTACTCGGGGCCCTACCATTAACTGTATAAGTCCTGCCCTTATATGTTTTACCAAAATGCAATACCTTGCATTTGTCCAAATTAAATTCCATGTGCCACTCTTCAGCCCACTGACCCCATTGATCAAGGTCTCTTTGTAGTCTTAGATAAGCTTCTTCACTGTCAACCTTAATCACCAATTCTGGTGTTATCTGCAAACTTGCTTTCGATATTCTCATCTAAATCACTTTTATAAATTATAAACAAAAGTGGACCCAGCACCAATTCCTGTGGATCATCACTGGTTACAGGCCTCCAGTCTGAAAAACACCATCACTCTGTCTCCTGCCGATAAGCCAACTTTATATCAATTAAAAAGCTCATCCTGAATCCCCTGTGATTTAACTTTACTAACTAATGTACCATGCAGAATCTTGTCAAAGGCTTTACTAAAGTCCAAGTAAACAATGTCCACTGCCCGGCTCTCAATCAATCTTCTTGGTTACTTTCTCAAAAAATTCAATCAAGTTTTAGAGAGACGCTTTTCCCACACTCAAAACCATCTGACTATCCCTAATCATTCCTTGTCTCTCCAAATGCATATAAATCCTATCTTTCAGAATCACTTCCAACAACTTACCCACCACTGAAATCAGACTCACATTTCTATTGTTCCCAGGCTTCTATTTACATCCCTTCTTGAACAAAGGCACAACATTTGCCACTCTCCAGTCCTCCAGCACCTCACCCATAGGTATAAATGGTATAACTATTTCTGCAAGAGGTCTCGCAATTTCCTCCCTAACTTCTCACAACAGCCTGGGATACACCAGATCAGGTCCCCGAGATTTAGTTGCAATAAATTGGGCCAGTACTTGTTGAAATATACAGGAATAAGAGACGACCTTCTTGAAACATGCAAGATTCTTGGAGGACTTGACAGGGTAGATGTGAAAGGTTATTTTCCCTTGTGGGAGAGTCTAGGACCAGAGGGCATAATCTCAGAATAAGTGGTCACATATTTAGGACAGATGAGGAGGAATATCTTCTCTCAGAGGGTTTTGAATCTGTGGAATTCTTTACCATGGAGGGCTGCTGAGGCTGGGTCATGAACTATGTTCAAGAGTGTGACAGATAGATTTTTAAGGGAATCAAGGGTTATGAGTAATGGGCAGGAAAGTAGAGTTGAGGGTTATCAGATCAGCCATGATCTCATTGAATGGAAGAGCAGACCTGATGGACTGAATGGTCTACTTCTGCTACTTTGTGTAATTTTGTTTTATTATTCATTCACAGGATGAGGGCATCACTGGACAGCATTTATTGCCCAACCCTCATTGCAGAGGGCATCTTAGTGTCAACTACATTGTTGTGGGTCTGGAGTCACATGTAGTGTCTGTAGATATGCAGTTCTAAACAGTAATTTTCAGGAAAAGGAAAAGTCAAAAAAAACCTTCGATTATTTTGAAAAAGGGAATCATGGAGTAACCAGAAGGGATGTTGGAATTAATTAGTTGAATGAAAGTCATTTGCTATGTTTGACTCACAAATTGTCTATATGGTATAGTACGGAGAGCATTGTGCAAGTTGTATTTAGCTCAGAACAGGGCAAAGCATTTTCTTTTTTAAAAATATCTGAACTTTCTTGAACTGCCTTTAGTTGCAGAAATTCAGTAAGGGAATTTTTGGGTGACTAAAAAGAATGGAGTTTATGGACCAATGATGTTCTTTCAAAATTTTACTGATATCCTGATAATAAAAATTCATTAAACTTTACTTTTTGGTGAGTACAATGCAGTTCTTGCTTGCAGGTTTAGTGGGAAATTACTGGTGCTAAACTGTGCACCAACTTAATGAAACTACATTTACAGAACCATAAAATGTTACAGTATACAAGGCCATTCAACCCAAAATTGTCTGTACTAGCTTGCAAAACAGCCACCCAGCAAGTCCCATTCTCTACACCCAGCTATGTAACCAACTAAATTAATCACTTTCAAATATATTTCCAGTTCTTTTGAAACCTCCGACGGATTCCACCTCAATCACCCTCCCAGGTAGCACATTCCAAATCCTAATAACCAGTAAAGTTTCTCATGTCACTCCTAGCTGATAATCTTGAAGTTGTGATCCCTTGTTACTGAGATACTAACTAGTGGAAACAGAATATCCTTCTTTATTCTGTCAAAATTGTTCATAATTTTGAACATTTCAATAAGGTCATCTCTAATCTTCTCTGCTCCAAAGAAGAACAAGCCCAATTTCTCTAATTTTGCCTTGGATCTAATATTTCTCATTCCTGTATCATTCTAGTAAATCTCACTTGAACCCTCTCCAGGGCTTTAACATCCTTCCTTTAATAAGGGACCCAGACTGAACACAATACTCCAAATGTGGTCTAACCAATGGTTTGCAGAGGTGTAGCATCACATCCTTGCTTTTATTACTCCATGCCTCTTTATTAACCCAGGGATCTTATAAGGCTTCTTAATATCTGTTTCACCTTGCCTGGCCACCTTCAGAGAATCATTCATGTGAATCCTGAGGTCCCTCTTCTCCTGTCCTTCCCTTGAAGATGTAACGTTGAGCTTGTATTGTCTCTGTTTCTTCTACCAAAATGTATTACCCCACAATTCGCTGCAAATGAATGTCAATTTGGCCAACTTATCACTTTGAAGTCACTCACTGTCATCCTCACAATTCACTGTTCTCCCTAGCTTAGTGTCATCTGCAAATTTAGAGATTTTGCCCTCAACACCCATCTCTAGATCATTTATATAAATCAGGAAAAGCAAGCGTCCCAACACCAATCTCTGAGGAACACCACTTTTGGTGTTTTGGTGTTGCCTGCCATCCTTTTCTCATGCTTCCTCATAGCCCTCGTTATTATAGCCTCAGCCTCTCTCCTGCATTTGAAATTCTCTTCCTGATTTCTATTGCTATTATGTCGATATGCATTATATGCTGATATTCTTTTCCTTATTTTCTCATCAGTATCCTTAGGCATCCAGGGTACTGTAGCTTTGGATACGTTAATTATTTCTTGTTGGTATGCATCTAGCTTGCATGCTATTCATCTCAAAATTCTCCCATTTTTCATCCACTGTTTAATCCACCAAAACGGCTGATGTGAAAATAGAGAAATGACCATGCCAAGGTTCATTTAAAGCAAATTTATGATGGAAAGAAGGCATTCAACCATATTTATGCCCGCTGTAATGCAAAGTATGCAATTTATGTATACTATAATATTTATTTCAGAGTTTGGATTTAAGCTAGTGGTTTGTGTGTTTAAAGGGATTTTATGATTAACTTACAAGTCTTTCTATAGACACGACATTTTTTTTTTGTTTGAGAAAGTTTCTGGTATGTAATGGGGTTCTCTTTTCATTATTTATTCTTAAGAACAATCAAAGTCTTTCCTAGAGTCATATAGCATTGAAACAGACCCTTTGATACAAGTTTCCCAAACCAAACGAGCCCCACTTGCCTGCATTTGGCCTATATCCCTCTAAACCTTTCCTATTCATGTATTTGTCCAAAAGTCTTTTAAATGCTGTAACTGTATTTGCATCTACCACTTCTTCTAGCAGTTCATTCCACATACGCACCACCCTCTGAAAAAGTTGCCCCTCAGATCCCTCTTAAATGTCTCCTCTCACCTTAAAAAAATGCCCCCTAGCTTTGAACTCTGCCACCATCAGCTTCAAGGGGAGGTTTTTTTTTGCTCTTAATTAGGGGAAACACCCACAGCTTGGAAGGGTTTTAGGTTTCAGTTTTGCAGGTTTGTAGAATTCTTCCTGCAGATGGATGTATAAAAACAGTTGCACCTGAGAAAGCATTATATAGTTTAGAAAATTAAGAAATAGGTTAAGCCTAAACTCCTTCTGCTGAGGTAAAGTTCTGGACCAGAAGTGTTTGGATAAAACCCCAAAATCGTTATTTCAAACCAAGAAAGTCAAAGTCTGTTTGGAGAAATGCTCAAGGTAGCGGTGATCATATTTCAAAACTGTGGAACTCAAGCCACAGCAAGTCAATCTCAATGTGTGATAAAGAAGGGAATTCTTTCTCTTGTGTTTGAAATTGTAAAGGAGTGTTGTTGGGATTAACGGCATTGTATTTTACCTTGTTTTGCAACTCTTGCAGTCTTCAGGGCTTAATATGAAGTTCAATAATTTTCTGGTATGAACAGCTCCTTCCATACCCTGTACCTGCCCCCACACCCCTGTCATGACATGGGCTGCTTTCAGCACAGCCATCCCACTTCCACCTACTCATCGTTCCCATTATCAGTTTTTCTCCTTTTCTCGCTTACTATCAACCATTCCTTTATCTGCCTAACGGTCTTTCTCTCTGTGCTCCATTTCTACTTATCTGCTCACTCTTTTCCCAAACCTCCTCCCCCAACCCTGTAATCAGCATAAGTACCAATGTTTCCTAGCCAGTACCAATAGTTCTGAAGGACCACTGGACTCAAAACATTAACTCTGCTTTCTCTCCTGGTGCTGTTGAGTTTCCCCAGCAATTTCTGCTTTTGTCTTCACTGCTCCATTGGTTCTACAATTACTTTAAATAATGGTCCTTGGTTATTGACCTCACTAAGGAAGCATTCACTCATACACTTCAATTAGATCTCCCCTCTGACTTATGCTGCAAAGCAATTAATTCCCGTTTTTCCTCATAGCTAAAATTCCCAAGACCTGGCAACATTCTTCAAAATATCTATCGTAACATCTTAAATACAACCTCCTATTACTGAAGGGTCACTGGACCTGAAATTTTAACTCCACTTTCTCTCCACATAAAGCTGAGTTTCTCCAGTAATTTCCGTTTTTGTTTCACATCCCTCCTGTCCTGTGACCAGAACTGTATCATAACTGTATTCCAGGGTTTTTATACAGTTCTAAAATAATCACCCTGCTCAGATCATGTGTCTGAGCTAAGAAAGAGAAACTCTTGTGCCTTCTTCATTACTAACTATCTGCCCTGTCAGCTTCACGGATCTGTACAAGTGCACACAGAGTTAAGTACAAATATGGAACAAACTGATTAGCTTTAGCCTGTTCTAGCAAAGAATCAAGTAGTAGATAAGAAGGCAAAAAACCTCACCTTGTGGCTTGAATCAAGTCTTAGCAAGACAAGCAGGAATTGTTGTGCATATGGCTTTCCTATTAATTGATGCACTGCAAAAAGAAAAGTATCAGATAAAGTATGTCAGTGTAGATGCCCTAAATGTGAAGGAATAATTTCCTTTATTTGCTAAGATAGATTGCAAGAGCTGGGAGGTTATACTAGAACTGTAGAAAAACAGTACAACAACATCTTTATTAATACCACTGTAATTCTGGGAGGACCATCTATTGAAGCAGGCTTTCAAAAAAAAAACAATAATTGGTCTGTTGGGAATCAGAACACGTTAAGAGTGAACTACAGTGTTTGAAATGGAAGCATGTGCTGGCCAGAATTGAAATCTGGGTCAAAAACAAATTGCTGGAAAATTCAGGTCGGACAGCATCTGTGGAGAGAAAGCAGAGTTAACATTGAGAAGAGTGACCCTTCTTCAGAACAGATAATAGGTAGGAAAAAGTGGTATAAATACTAAAGGCAAAGGGAGAGACAGGAAGGCAGAACAGCAGCACAACAGACTCAACTTCCACCCAGGAATTCAGAGTCAATGGAGGAGGAGGTGACAAAGGAGTTGGGGGAGTGGAAAATAGTCAAGAAAAACCAAAAAAAGAAAACCCTCGCCAGGCCTCCATTGGCCCACAGCAACAGAACGGGAAGAGGCAGCAGCATGACGACCACAGTAGCAGCTCCGCTGATGAAGAGGATTTGTGGAGGGAAGGTCACCAACAGAAAAGGAGGATCAAGGTTACCAGGGAGAAGGAGAGGAGCATCCCCCAACCCAAAAATGACAGACGTTGGGCGGGGCCTGAATAAAATCAACCCTCCACTGTCGGGAACCAAGAGGTTTCTCAACACCACAGCTCCAAACTGGGAGCAGTGAGGTCTCCAGGAAGGAGCAGGGGATGACAGCATTCCAAACCCCGACCACCCGCGTCACTGATCCCCCACCCTACACCCACCCAACCCACAATCCCCACCCCCC